AAAGTGAACCAAAAAAAAAATTTCACTCGGTTGTTTCAGTGTAAAATACACTAAAATGAATTTTTTTTTTGGGTTCACTTTTATTGAACAAATTTTTTTTGGTTCACTTCAATTGGACAAAAAAAAATTGATTCACTTTTCATTGAAAGTTTTTTTTAGGTTTCGTGTTTAAACATTTTTCGAGAAGTAGTTTTTATTCTACCCCATTCATATGTTCTTTCATCTTGATTCAATCGGCTTTCATTACATTTTCCATTATTGATTTGAGCAGCCCTCAGTCTGTGTTCTACGATTTTTATTTGTTTTTTCACCTACAAAATACCTGTTCAAAAGTTTCATACTTATATTATAGATAGAGATACATTTTTCTGATTTTGCGTAAAATTCAATTTATTTGCCCGCATTTTCATCAGTAACTGCCCTTCGATATTAATATTAGCTTGAATAATTCAAAGACCACGTTAAAATTGGACTGCGATCACATGACTCCTGGCTTGTATACACAGAAGCGAGTGCTCCGATTCGACTGTTTTGTTATTTAGATGTCATCGTTGTTCAGCATATGTTGAACTATGTATGTTTCATGTTGTGCAGCATATTTTGAATACACATTACATTGCTGTGACAAAAATTACCGAATGACTTTGGTTTCTATTGTTATCGTTCGCACCATTAACACAGAAGGCATACATGAATCTCAAAAATATCATCATCCCCCATAAATGTTGAATTTTAAATAAACAAAATTAAAATGAAACAATTATAGAAATGGAATCGTTTATATTTTGTGCGGGAAAATTTCAATAAATACCTTCCGCATAAATGTTTCGTAATCATCGTACATTCTATGCAACACACAATGTTAAGAAAGTGCCATAATAAATAGCCAGAAAAATGAGAGGAACTCGTATTATAAATTCACTTCTATCGCATTAAAATGTCAAATCCAAGTGCTAAAAAGTCGCCATGAATAAATGAAAAATGCGGAGGAAACGGCGACAAAAATGTCGATATGCAAAGTAGAGTTCAGCAATTTTTAAAGGCAGTAAAAAAAGAAACGACAAAGTGTGAAAAAGAGGCAAATTTCATTGTCGACTTAGCTATGTGGCATGGTCGTGGAGACACGTTACAAACATTTTAATAACATTCGAGACGCGCGAAACGATAATCAAACATTTAACAAACAATGAACAATATTTATCATTTAAATTAAACTTCGTGTGATATGTATACACCAGCATACATATACCTATCTTATATCGGTAATATTCTGCGGTGAAAAGAGTACGACGGCTTGTCGGTGAAAAATGACATTGTTGATGATATACCAGCATTTACTGGAAGATTCATGCGATGGATTTAAGTGATTTTCTTTTTCTGTCGAAAACTCAGTACGGCCACATTGATGCGTGGGGGTCATGCGACGACACTTGAAACTCAAATAAAATGTAAATAATGAAGGTAGAATGAAATATTTGCGGTTCAACGGTGACAATAATTAAAATAATTTCCTTAATGAAAACGATTGCTAGCATTTGTGAATGCATCAACTCTATTAATTAAATTCTTCCAGATTTCTAGATAAAATGTTCGATTCCTTCTTGCTCACTCTCTTCATCTGTAAGCTTTTTCGCTTCATTCCATCAATTAGTGTGAGCAGACGGTGGAAATTCAAACGATCATGTAAACTGTGCTGCTTCATGACACTTGTAGTTATTCAACTTTGGTCATTTTTCTAATCACATCTTCAAAACTTCGGAAGGGGCAACACGGTGCCATTTAAGTTTTCCTGTACACGTGAATGAGAAATAAAATAAAATTAGGATATGTTATATAACACTTTAGCTTTTCAATTAGTTTATTCGTGGTGTTTCATTTTGCTTTCAAGAAATGTCCACTGTCCAACGGTGAATTTTCATGAAAATTTCAAATCTTGTCGACTTTCAATTTCAATAGCTTTCTATTTATACATTTTTATTTTCCAACAAACAATCAAATTATTTAAAATTAAAGAAAATTTTCATTGAAACATGGAAAAAAGTTTACTTGAACGGAAAAAGGAACCACAATTTCAGCTGTCTCTAGACAGTTAAAATGAGTAATTATCGATTGGGTTTAATTTCCTTAATTTACTCAATATGCAAGTCGTACGTTCATTATTAGAACGAATCATTAGTACACTGCAATTATCTGACCCAAATGAGTTTATTAGAATAAAATATACACCTGAAAAATATGATAAAATGGGAAAACATGAGAATCAGAGAAAATGATGAACCAAAAGACAATGACTTGCTTTTCATCTCGGTTCATCATAGTTTGTATGTTTTGTGTTGTTCAATGTATTTTTAGCACGTGTTGATGAATTGAGGAATTATTCAGATGGAACATTTCCATTACGTTTTGCTTCATAACAAAATACGTAACAGTAGTAGTAATAGGAGTATGGTTGATATGACAAAAATTATTGTGAAAAGAAAAGTTATTGCGTCAGAATAGTAGGATGTATTCTGTGCGTCATTCATTCCGCTTGTTGAGTTTCTGTTATTTCAGTGAAATGTCATCTGTTAGTTGTTCCAATTATGACATACATATATGTGTTTCTTGAAAATTTTAAACTCGAGGGGCTCATTCACTCTTCACATTTGTGACTGCATTTATTAAGGGTTTTTACATCACAAAATTCTTGTGTTTTTTTCGCAAGAAATGGTAATATTTCATTACAAAAAAATTATTTCTATTTGAGTACATGTCAAAGTGCTACCATATAAAAGTTCATATAATCGCTGACTCACAAAGTCCCATCCTCCAAGTCACAAAGTCCATTTGGAACCTTTTTAAATTGATATGATTTTATGTGACATCATTTTCAAATTTTTGTTGAAAAACTAGCAACGTTTATTGATCATAGTTTCTAAGGTCCAAGAAATGGAAGGTTGTTCAAAAACAATCCAGAAATTATCAAACTGTTCTCCAGTGAATAGCGTCGCTACCCATATAACTCATTTGCGGAGTAATTTTATCGATGACGGGACTGTGCGGAGTTCAGCGGAGATAGCATGCAAATGCTGTGTGTACGAGTACAACAGCGTTCTTTGCTGTTCATAGATTTATTTTGTCCAATCGTACATCTTAGTAGCCGTACACACAGCTAAGTTACTAATCATCTGCGTAAGAATGATACACATAGAAGTGCTGTTACCCTCGTACACACAGAGTTTGTATGTCATCTCCGCCAAACTCCACACAGTCCCGCCACCGTCAAAATTACTCCGCAAATGAATTATATGGGTAATGTTTATCAACATTTGTCTTCATCCTCTAGGAGTTTCTTGTTTTCAAATCCACCCCTTGGCTCTTATTAAGAAAATACTTCATACAAACCATTGACAACGTTGACATTTATTTCTCTTTAACGTAAATTCTTATGCAAACAAAAAAAGTGCAAGGATGGCGATAAAATACGTCAAAATGAGTCCTAATTATTTAACATGCAAATATGTTGCGAAATAATTGAGTCAAAATACCTTAAAGTTTACAAAAAGGATGAACATTGATGAGAGGTAGCACAGATTTTATTCGACTTGTTGCCTGAGAATGAGGATTAAAAAAGAGTTGGTTTTAAAGAAGGTTTCTTTGTGTGTTACCAAATTTTAATTCTTTTAATGTCACATGCATATCCAATGTCAGGAATATATGTTACTTTTATCATTAATTGCAAAAGTTTTTAAAAGGAATATCGTTGATATAGATCGTATAATTAAGAATTTTCCAGATTCCCGAGCAGAGAAACCATTCATATCAATAGCACAAAACAAAACTCCACTTTTCAATCAAAAAGATACGCTTTTTGGCGAATTCTTTACTTTTTTCAAATTTTCCGAAAAACATAGTCTACCCTATGTCTCATCAATAAATATATAAGAGATACCTCAAATAAACTAGCAACTAAAGTATGTGAAGAGGACATAGAAAAAGAAAAGAGTGGTGGAAAGTGTCATTGAGTGCAACAGAATTTTGTTGCTGAATGCAACAAAACATGCGTTTGACATATGTAATAAAATAAAAGTATGCGGCATCAAAGGAGAGAAGGAAAAAAGTGACTGATGTTTACATATTCATATGTACATTGCACATCAGGAACACATCATCAGAAGAGCTCACAATGCATACACACTTATGCAGTCAAATAAAATGTGGTGGAATTTATTTAAATGCTCAGTGAGGTATCATCATTTGTGTCATGTTTTATTTCTAATAAAACCTCCACAATTTACATTCAAAAAAATCGACAGACATGTCATTAAAGAGTTTTATTTGAGCGTTGACTTCTTTTTTTATTCAAGCAAGTACAATATAAATATTGATTTGCATGTTAAATGGTCACGTGATTGACAGCATTCATTTTCTATACGGTGAAAATGAATGTTGAAGTCTCTAAAATAGAAAGTGTCGTCGTTTTTCTTTCTCTTTCTTCGCTGCTCTGCTTTAATGCATTTATTCATATATTCGATAGAGCGCCAGCATTGAAGTGGTCAATGTTTAAGTGGATATTTTACGAAAGCTTTGTTGAACCTAAAATTTGCCTGAAAAGACGAAGAACAACCAAAAAACGCCATGTCTGAATCGCTGGAAGGCGAAAAACCAACTGTTCGATCGAAAGTTTTCCACGTCAACAGAAATTCTAGTTTGACACTCGTTCGAAGGAGCAATAGAAGGCAGACGCAAATGGAAATCAAAACAAATGTAAATATAGGGGAAAAGGTTTGCATGGCCCCACGCGCATGAGTTTGTTCCCTGTGCAAACATCGTCGACAAACAAAATGTTGAACGCTCGCATCCGTGTGCTTGCATGTTTGTAATTGAAACTGATTCTTCAACATCAAAATGCATGCGATTCAGTACTGTTTGGATGTTCTTCAGTACGTAACGCATAAAATAAACATTCCCAATATTGATGTTTGATCAAAACAAAATAATCATTAGCAGAGCACAAAAAACATTGTGTTATTAAAAGTGTTTAATGTATAAAAAGGAATATGTTAATTTTATCATAAAAAATTGAATGCGACTCGAAGATGTTGTGATTGGAAAAATGCAAGAAAATAGCAAAGACAACAGCATTCAAATAGAAGATAAAATAAATCGTGTGATCGCTGATAAATAATTTGGACGAATAATTCAAAGTGGCACTTATAAGACGATACATTGAAATGAGTGTATTTACAGAATATAAATGATCGTGGCACGTGCTTTTTATTTGCAATCAGTATTCAAATATATAAATGTGAAATGGACATGGATATATAAATGTGAAATGGAAAGATTTGATGAAAATTCAAAGTTTGAATAACAACAGTTCAAGAGATCACATTTAGCTTAATAGCTAATTCATTAAACGCCCATACCGTAAATCGGCCCACAAGAGATGCAATCGAGATTGATAAGTGCGTGCGTAAATGTGAAAATCACAATAAATTTGTTATCAAATATCAGCAGCTATCTAACTATTTGTTCCAACTATGCATTACAAATGAGAAAGGTATATCGTGCTACTTAATGTAATTGGGCAGTGGCGGCAAACAATACTTACTATCAATATTATTTATTCTGACATTGTGTATTTTCTTTTATTTATGTCAGAATAAGAAGGTTATTCGAATAAAAAGAATTGTGGAAATGTGCTGAAACTGTTATTATAAGTGAATAACAACGATACCTAATATTTGATTCATGAATTTGTGTGTATGGACTAATAAAACAAACCGAATACGAATAATAAACAAAGTTGATTTGTGTTTTGATGATCAAAAGGAACGTGTTTTTCTAGAAACGGACAACAGCAATCATGACCTATAACCATTCATTTCGGAAACGATTTCAATTGGATAGCGCGTGTGTTTTTCATACTTGTATACGTGTGTATTTAAAAGGCATAAGCGCCAAATAAGCGAAAAAAGAAAACATTAAGACGCATATATAAAGATATATAAAGATATATATATATATATTTGTAGAAAATTTCGGTAACACGATATTCATCATTGATGTGTTGTTCTCGCTCTCATTCTGCTCTGCTCACGCCATTTGCTCTCACTCTAACACATTCTAACACCTACTAGATTTCGGTAGTGGCATTCATATTTCATTTGGATAGCAATGTATCAAAATTATTGCTGACATAATTCACATGGACTGCAAGCGTTTTCACCGTTGAGTCACCGCTGAAACAAATAAAAAGTGAAAACAGAATAAAAATATAAATCAAACTGAGGTAAGTAAGCAAATGCATATATGTTTTGTATTCGCAAACGCATTTCTTATGTTCGTGTGTTTTTTTTTTTTTGTGAGGACAAAGTGAGGATGGATTATGAATGAAAATGAAAAAAAAAAAAAACAAACAACGCACGATAAAATGACACAATATCCTCCTTGGTGTGGAAAAAAAGAAACACAAAAAAGAAGAATGTATGAACCCGATGAAAGCACATGCATGCACGATTAAATGGAATGCAAATGTGAAAACATCCATTTACTTCTTTAAAATTAAATCCATCATATCGTTCTATTATACAAATACTTTCCTTATTTTATTTACTCAATTTTAGTTAGTTTGGTCATGCATAAAGAATTTTTGTCAATCTCATGAACAAGCGTATTCGTTGGGTCTGAAATTTAGACATAATACAAAAAAAGTACAAACAGAATGAAACATTTGATTCGTGCCAAATATTGTGACTTGGCAATTTTAAATGCTGCCATGCATATTGTGTGTTCACCGAATTCTATTCTACACGTACGAAGCGTGGTGCTTGTCACTTTTTACTCTTATGTGATTTCTTCTTATATTGTTACGTGAACTCATTTGGCAAATTGAAAATTTGGCAATTTTAGAAAATGCATTATACTTAGCAAAAGTTGATAGAACAAACTTCCATGGATACATATATCACTACGTTCGAGATGGGAACCATTTTTTTAAACTCTTTCTTAACTCGCACACATATAAAATCGATGTTATAAATATTCATTAGAAGAAACTGTATAAAGTACTAACTATGTTGATTTCTTTGCAATTTGCAATTATCATAAGTTTGGAATAGAGTTGCAGTCAATGGTGTAATCTAGCTACAGACATGTAATTGGATGGGTTGAAGAAACAAAACTGGCATAGAATAATCATCAAAGCAACACGATGTGTATGGATAAAGACAGGGGCGCAACGTGGCGCCACATAATAATTGGAAAATTTTTGGGCCACTTTTTCAAAATTATTAAATTTACGCATTCACTTAGTGAATATTTTAATTTTTTTTTTTCACAATTTTTCGGGAGACGGTTTCAAAAATGCATGAAAAGTTTTCGCCATGCTTTACGATTTAATTCTTAATTTTGGCGACAAAGATTGGCTCCATAAATAGCATGATCGAAATTAGAACAACAGTAAACCTAGAATAGAAGTTAAAATTTAATCAAAATTTACTAGTTTCGTTTACCTACATTTTTAATATGATTTCGATTCAATTATTTACTTTAAAGCTACAACACAACCGCATATTGAATGGATAATATACAACAAAATGTTTGTAAAATCTCGTTTGAAAATGCAAAAAGTTTGCACAAACTCAATTACATTGATACATAAGCACTGCCATTAAATACATACCTCGAACGGAAAATTATCTTGAATAAGTTAAAGCGAATCGATTCGATAACGAATCTGAGGATGTTTACAGTCCATGGAGCACGTATGTGCAAACACCGAATGTGTGCTGCCATCTGAAAGTTAAACATCATCGTTAAGTTGTTGTTGTGACTACAATATAAGCTGTGCACTACACACAAAAACAAAATATAACTAAGAAAAAGTGGAAGCCAGTGCGTTTACACAGGGAGTAAGTTCTAAATGCTAGAGACTAGCACAAATATGGTGCTGAAAGCATGAGAATCTCATCTACCAAATAAAATCAATGATGGATTCATCTGCAACTACAGCAAAATAAATCTTGTGAAATTTTGTTTATTTTGGCAGAGTGATAACGTCAAACATTATTATTCAAACCACCATGAAAATAGCAAAAATACATATATAATACATAGATTGTGTGTTTGTTATAAAAACATTGCCACAAATGCAATAAATCATGGCAGTCGATTCACAACAACCGCCACTTCCGTACCAATTTATTTATTTGTTGAATACCATTTCCTCTTCGAAAACAATTTTCATCGGTCGATGTGCGAAATAGATAAAATTTAATCAACTCGATGTGTCTTGCATCGCGATGCGTTTTGCTTTTTGATACTTTTGATTTACTCGCCCTCTCTCTCTCTCTCTCTATTTCTTCCACCACTTTTCGTTTCGATTTTATTTTTCCATTTATTTTCTCGATCGTGCAAAATCCATACACCAAGTGAATTTGAACGACAAAAAGGAGAAATTTTTCCATCGCTTGGTTGGTTCCTTATTATAATTATATTGTCGAGGTGCCAATCTGTTCATTTTGTATAAATTGTATGGCACATTGTTGATTTGTTGTGTGCTTGTGCCTCTTTTTGTGTTTTTATAATATTTCTGAATCTCGGTGTGTATCTCTGTGTGTGTAAATGTAAAATGCTGCATGTCTCTTTTGATTTATGTTATTAATATATTAATTCGCACATAAAGTGAATAGATAACGGCATTCGGAAACTTATTCGGAATTGGACTTACATCCAGTTGCCTATTTTTTATTAGCTGTACATAGTGAGTTCGAGCTATTGTTTGTTGACTTCAGTGCTTGTGATTTACTCTTGATTTGATATGGTGTACACGAAAAAAAGCTTTCAAAAGAATTAGATAGATAGGCGAACAAGACGACAAAATACAAAATGAGTTATGTAGAAATATCGGCCATCTTTCATACTTTGTATGGTGGAGTGTGCTTCTCAAATATGTATCGGAAGGCTACACACAGGACCAAGATATGATGATTGAGTTGCAAGATAGAGTAAAAGTTTAGAAAAACTTTGGCGTCAATTTAAGCGTACACAAGCATGCACCATACCAAGTCTCAATGGACCCACTGAAACAGGCGATAAAACAGTCGAAAATTATTTGAATGACAATAATTTAGCATTCAACACGGAAAATAAACGATAACACTAAGTGTTTTATGCACAGCACTCCCCCTCTCTCTGTCCCTCTCTTTCCTGTAGCTGTTCAGTTATTCGAACATCAATCGCACGGTCTCAAGGAGGGCCGGATATTTACGGTTGAATATGAGTTATTTTACACTTTGGGCAAAAAATAATCAGCTTAAGCATTTTATTGACAACAACAAACGAAAACCCGATACATGGCAAGTGTGTCCTTTCGTGCGGTCAAATGGTCTTTCGCATTTAATTTATGTGCAACACGAGAAAAATGCGCCCGATATTGTTAAAAGAAATGCGCCGAATACATTTGATCCAAAATATCGAAATTGACTACAATTTGGACTGAAATGCATGACTCAAGAAAATACCGAAGAACTAGAGAGAGAGGGGGAGATTGAAAGAGGGACATAAAGAGGGAGTGATGAAGAGAGTAATCGAAAAAAGCGTCAGCCAAAAATGAACTTTATATTCCAGACACAGCGGTAAAGATGTGTGTACTTTGCCCATGTAAATTATACAGATCGGAATGATACGTATATGTGTATATAAATGAAGCGAAATGGAGATTTCCCGAATACGCGACCAATGTTGAAAACGTGTTTCATTGCTGTTACGCAGCACATTATGCGAACGTGTGTTGCGTGTAGTTCTTATGGTGCGTTACGATGTAATGGCGTCAAATCCTCTTCAAAATAAAAATCGAGACACATCGTGTATCAAAAACACCACAAAAGTAGATCAACGCTTTTTAACGGAGCATACAAAATTCAATATAAATGAATGAAATTGAAGAGAAACTAAATCTTTGTATCGCGAAACATTGTGTCTTCTTCAATATACACCTAATCCATCAGCAGGTGCACAAGAAAGCACTGATCTCGCTCCGTCTTCAACATTTTTTTTTGTTTCGTACCGTGTTATGCGTTCACGATGCTCAATTGACGTAATCGCTCAACAGGCGCTGATTACACACAGGATTCAAATGAAAAGCTTTATCAAATCGCTTTCGCCTTAGAATAATTGTTTTCGCATTTTTTCCCTTTCTTTCTCTCGCAATCATAGCTTCTGGAGGGGGAATAATATCAAAATTTTCCAAAAATGTAAAGGGTAACTTTTCGATTTGGTCTCGCACAAATTCAAAAATGCCTCAAAAAAATACTAGCAAATTGAAAGATTTTCCTTCGCCAAAAACCCTAGCAAAATTCAATATTTTCTCCCTCTTTAGAAAGTGAAGAGAAAGAAGGTCTTCTAGCAAAAGCAAATCGAAAGAATATTTTTCTTAAAATAAGAAAATTTCTAAGGTGGTAATTCCCAAATCTGCTGTTCAGGGAGGGAGGTGGGGTAATCCAACCCCTCCGACCCCTGCTCAGAAGCTATGCTTGCAATGCACAATCTTTTCTGATGTGTCTTTCTTTTTTTCACTTGCTTCGCCATTATTACCTCACATTTTCGATAGATTTTGGGCAAGAGAGGAAGCCATTTTAGTTTGTTACGTGACATATTAACCACAATTTCGACGCTGTTTTTTTCATTTGGTTTGTTTCTTGTTTCGTGTTTTTTTTTGTCGACATTCTACCAAACATAACCCCGAATTATAGGCTTTGCATTCAAAAAAACACATCATGTGGGAATCGCGCACATCATTTGGGACATGAAAATATAGCCTCACGACGAATAGCGATGAAACGAACAGATAAAATGTATATTTTAAAAAAATGCGCACACACATCGAGAGTTGAATGAGTGTATTGGATGGATGTATCCATTCGCTGATCATGTTCCAGCTCAGATGCTGAGCACAGATGAATTTGCTAGCTGAGATTAGTCAATGGATACGTTGGGCTTTTTTTTCTGTGCAAAACCATGCAAAAATTGAATACGAAAATCAGCTGAACACAAACAGTCTAGGCAACAGTAAACGTTTCAATGCTCAGAACATGAGCCGTTTGCTTTCATTGAGCGAATGATTTTATTTCAGCGAAAAGGCAATAGAAAATCCAGACCAGTAGAGAAAAGCAACTGGCTTATGTCATTTGTAACGCTGCTATTTGATCAACTTTAAAAAACCTAATTTAATAAAATGATATGACACACACGCACAGCGAAAGAGTGAGAGAGAGGGAGAAAGAGAGAGTG